GGGGGGAGAGAAAGAAGTTGGGAAGACGAGAGGGAGGGCGAGAGAATGAGGAATAGGATTAGGATTGGGAATGCTGGGACCGAGTCCGGAACAGGCCTGGGAGGATCTGGTTGAGTTTGGAGCTTAGTCAGTCTCGACTGTAGTTACCACGGAGTAGTTAGCTAAGTACCAAAGGTACCTATTAATATTAACTAGGCCAGTAAACTGTAACTAAGATGTGCTCCTTAATCACTAGGTAGGTACGGAGTACCTAGGTAGTTATGGTGGTGTCGAGGCTACCTTAGTACCTATGCAGTAGGAACCTAGGTACGGTATGGACTGTTCATTACTGCTGATACTGTTAAAAAAAATGATAGAATAATGAAATGAAGAAGGAAAAAAAAAGAAAAAAAAAAAAAAAAAGAAAGAAAGAAATATATTGCTATACTACATAGTCAGCTAGAGTCTGTCAATACAATTGTCGCATCCAGCTGAGGAATTTGGGGGCAGGTCTTATTGTCCGGATGCGACCGTTAGCTGGGTCGAGACCTGTCTAGGCATCTCTTAGTAGTAGGTAGCAGTAGTTACAGAGTAACTACATAGATAGGTGTCTGCCTCAGGTTAGTTACTGAACTCGACACCACAGGTACTCTGTACCTCTATCACTCACGACTCATCAATTTATTATCAAGAGAATAATCACCTACTAAGCTATTCATATTCAAACAAAGTATTGTACAGGTAGTAGTTAGTTATCTCAACCCTCGTACCTCAGTCCCTGGACGATCGCCCATGGTTCCAACTTCCCAGAACCACTTATCGCCCTCGAGGCCCGTGACGGCCGCCCATTCGCCGGATCGAAAAATGGCCGGCTCGTGGTGGGCGTTGCGGCCAGCCATTGGTAGCCAATCGTCGCGTTCATCGCCGTGTTGCTGCCTCGCCTCCCCAGGCGCCCAATGACGAGTACAGCGTTGCGGCTTCTTGGTGCCTCTAGGACCAGGTTGGTACCTACCTAGGTACCTACTCCGGAGTAGGTCTACCTAGTAGGTACTGAAGGGAGTACTATGTTATCAGGTATTAATCTACTTTGTATATGTATTGAGGTACTCCGTACCCTAGGTACTTAAAGTACTACCTGGGTAGATAGATACCTAGTAGATACCTACTCTAGGTAGTTACTAGGTGATACCAATAGATTGCGAGTTCCAAGCAAGTACTGTGCCTGTGCTTAAGTCACCCCACAGTCCGGTCTAGAGACTCACTTGTCACACCGCAGGATCGGAACGCTGGAATGGCTCCTACTCGTCGTGCATGCGCCATCGTCCGCTAAGCTGACGGATTCTATTTCCTAGGGACGAGGTCCTGCTGTATTACTACTGCAACAGTGTACTCTGTAGTAGGCACTCGGGAAAGTATCGTATGCTGTCTGAGAAGACGATGTACCTGTTGGATTCAATTTATCGTAACTGCTCCAGGATTCATCGATTGACATGAATTAAGAAAATCTTTTTTATCTGCAATCCTAGTATACAGTACGAATGCTCATTTCCGAAAAATATTATAAACGCCGCAGGGTATGCCAGTAATAAGAGTCAGGTCAACCCGAGGTCAACGGGAGGGTCAAGATGCTAAGACGCGTAGATACATTCACTTCTGAACGTGCGGTTTCGGTTCGACGATTCCAGCCTAGACACATTAGCATCAGCACTTGGGTTCTTATACTTCTGGCACTTCTGCGTACAATGTTCAATAACCGCCACGCCGAATCGCTCGGCTGCGCTCCCACGCCGACCCAGTACTTCGCCCGTGAGATGTCCAGCGAGATATCCTTGTAAGGCCGGGTAGTGCCCGAAGCATCGTCAAACAGGGTTGTCGGCCGCTTGGGAATCGGATTGTACGTTCCAATCACTTCGAGAGGCTTCGAACCGCGCGCGGATCTATTCGTAGAACAAGAGTCAGATAACTGGGGGGGGGTGTTTTTTTTTTATTCCCTCCATATTGAGGTCCAGATCGAGGTGTTGGAAGCGTACCGTGCTTGCGTCACGACAATATTGTAAAAAGGCTGGCGCTTGTTGCCGAAGCGAGCGAGCCGGATCCTCACAACCATCTTGACGGTCTGATAGAAGGGTGTGGTCTTCGTACTGGTCGGAAGTTTGATGGTCGTTGCTTCAAACGTCAAACTGCCAAACTCGACGAGCAGTCGGAAATAGAGATGTTCCGGGCTCTCGCCTGATATGGACTAGCGCAGTATGCGCCCATGATGCAATAACGACATAGTTCTATCAAACAATATCAAACAGAATCAGTAGTAGGTATTCCACTCAGTTAGGTATTTTGCTTGAGGGCACCCAAATGACCAAATTGCTTCGATTCACCCGTCAATTCAGTAGAACAACCAGAATGTCTTTGAAGGTGGGCAGTTGAAACACATTTGGAGCACATCGAACTAAGTTACTATCAGGCCATCTCCGCCAAAGACGCCGCCTCTCTCGATAGGGATCTCATGGACCCAGAGATTGGGGGGTGGTCGCTAGACCAGCTGATGGAGTTGGCGGGTCTCTCTGTGTCTCAGGCAGGTCTGTATAAGTCAATCGGTGTACTACAACTACAGTACTAAACAAACCTAGTCTATCGTGTGCACCCACCGAGTAAAGGAAAGAATGTCCTGGTGGTCTGTGGACCTGGTAACAACGGTACTCTTCTCTGCCTACCTAAGAAAGTACTTAAGTTCAGACCAGAGCTGATCAGCATTAGGAGGCGATGGTCTCGTCGCAGCCCGTCATCTAGCCCAGTACGGCTACACACCCTCCGTATATTATCCGAAAGAAGGGAAAAATGAACTCTACCAGGTATCTACAAACAGGAATTCAGTTTAGAAAAAGGGGGGGCTAATGTCTCTACCAGCGCCTCAAAAAACAACTCCACAATCTTTCCGTCCCTTTCGTGCAGGAAGCAGACTTCCCCTCCTCCCTCGTCACCTCCCACTTCCTCATCGACGCCATCTTCGGGTTCTCCTTCGGTGGCCCCCTACGCGAACCGTTTCCCTCGATCATCACCCAAATAGAATCTTCGAATATCCCCGTCCTGAGCGTCGACGCACCAAGTTCCTGGGACATAGCGGCCGGCCCGCCCAAATCCGGACCAGGAGCGAACTTCATGCCGGCTTGCTTGATCTCGTTGACCGCCCCAAAACCCTGCGTCATGTATTACAGGGGTAGACATTTCGTCGGGGGGAGGTTCCTCACCAGCCAGATCGCGGAGAAGTATGGGATCAACGTTCCTCAGTATCCGGGTGTCGAGCAGATTATCGAGATCGGGGTCGATGCTGAGGGGAGACTATAAATCTACGAACTTCTTATGGATATCTATTATCTATCGAGAGTGGGGTAACCGAGTTAATTCATATGTATTGTTCATGACGAGTCAACTACGTAAAGAACTAGGCAAACAAGTCGCGAATCTCGCCGATCACGCTCTTAATCCGCGGCTCCTTTCCCAAGCCTGTGGCTGATAGTCGGTTGAGGATCGCTCCCAGATCATATACCTCCCGTGCTGCGCTCTGGACTTCCTCGCCAAGACTCTTGACCAGGGTACCCACGGCAACCAGGGCGCGGTAGACGACTTCCGAGTCCTTTTCCGATGCGAGGGTCTTGGCGAGTTCCTCCAGAAGCACGAGGCCTCGTTCTGCCGATTCGGGACTGGACTCTCTTCCGTCAGAGGTCAGATAGACGGCATAGTTGATGTACACGGTTGTTGCGGCAACTGTCACGTTGCGGTTCGGGGGCGTGCCGGCTCCTGTTAACGCGGATTTGAGACACAACAGCAGCTGCTCGAATCGTGACGTTACCAGCGTGCGACCGGTTTCCGTTTCGAATAGGTTGGCAAATAGCCGGGTGGCGAGCATCGTGTTGTTTACGGTGAGCGGTGCATTGAATGCCCCGCTAGACTGGAGAGCAGATACCAGGTCCTGGCCGTTGTAGTCGACAGTGGCAGTCAAAGGGGACGCCGCAGCCAAAAGCCTCAGCAGATCCAGAGCCGGGAGTCGACTGGTAACCGGCCACGTGGTGATAATTTTGTATAACAGGCTCGCCCCTGTTTCCACGGTGGGGGAATCTTCAAGGTGTTCAGACGATTCAAGTTGACTGCAGAGGGCGCCAACGACATCAATTTCCGAAGGACTCAAAGAAAGATCTTTTGAACCAGACGAGACCAGCTGCTGATTCAGCTCCTGGAGCTTCTTGAAAATCACTTTCAGATTGGCCGACTTGATGGAAAGATAGGTTTTCTGAGGAAGCACCTTGGGGCGCTCTGTGGGAATTATTGGCGCAGTCGCTTCGGCGGCGGCAGCGTCACCTGGGCGATAGCGTCTTTCCTGGCCCCAGGGATCTGAACCAGTTCCCTGTGGCTCCTGGGAAGGCTGTCCAAGGGTGGCGCCCTGTGTGTTCTGGAGAATGAAATTTGCAACCTGGTCAAGATATCCCATGGGAAGCTCATTATCCTGGATAAATTTGGAGGCCACTGTGTATGGATTCTGAGAGAGGTTGAAGGGAAGTTTCAGGGGAGGCTTCCCGTCTTCAATGTCCACATCGAAGACGTAGTCATACTCTTGACCGAGGTACTCCGTCTTGCGGCCACTGCTCGCGGCAGCGTCGACGACCGTACCCACTGCAATCCATTCTTGGGTGGCCGCTGACCATGTGTGCGCCGTGACACTTCCGTCAGCCTCACGGATCATCTGAACTTGACCCTCCTTTGTGCCGGACTTTTGGTTCAAAAACTCTGGACCAGGAAGTTTTTCCTTGTTGATTTTGCCGACCTGTTGTTCGGGAATTGCGGATTCCTTCACGGCTTGATCGAAGAGCTGCACGACTTCTGGACTTGCGTGGCGAGCCTGGTCTCGGCTGAAAACCCGAGTAATTCGATCGCTGGCACCCGTCACAATATCCCCGGTATCCTTGCAAACTGCAACACTCCAAACTGATATAGCTGGGTGTGTAATTGTCTGGACACACTGGGTGCCATTCCAAATTCTCACGGTACGGTCCTCGCCGGAGCTGACCAGTTCTCCGGAAGGCAAGGCAGCCACGGAGTAGATGAAACTGTCGTGTCCATGGAGCTCTGAAACCAGTCGACCTTGAAGATCGAAGAGTCTGATTACTCCATCGTTGCTGGCGGAAGCGAACTGGGCTCCGGTCGAGTTCGAGGCGGGAACCTTGCAGAGAGCTCGGACGACATCGCGAGAATCCTTGATGCTCCGTATAAGCTTACCGGAAGTGTTGAATATCCGTATTACCTTATCGGCACAGCCTGTGATATGTCAGGGAAGCGTGAGAGTCTGAAACAATAACCTTGACCTACCAGTAATAACAGTATCCTTGTCATACGCCAGGACTGCCCAAACACTCCCTTGGTGGCCCTCCAAAACCGTTTCACATTCCCAGTTGCCAACGCGCCAGAGCCTTGCCGTACCGTCCCAGCTACCACTAACGACCCAGCCGCCTTCAGGGCACACGTCTATCGCACAGACGTTGTGGCTATGACCCAACAGCATCGCATCGGCATTGTCATTCGCGGTCTTCCCCGGCTGTCTTGCTTCAATAATTGTGTCTTGCCCTCCAGAAAGAATAAGACCCTCTGGAAAATCAGGCGTGGGAGGGTAGTATGCCAAAGCATTGATGAACGCAGAGCCGTGGGAGGAGATCGTGTAGTCGTACGTAGGAGGCGGGGTAGAGGTCAGCTTCCAGAGCCGCACCGTCGCATCACGAGAAGCAGATATCACGGCGTTAGTGTTTGGGAATGCCACCGCACGTACCTAAAACGTTTTCGGGGGAAATGAGTCAGACACCAGGTTGCGGGATGCTACGGAGGTCAGGGGGAGAGTTGGGGGTTGTCCTTACATCATCGCCATGGCCCTCCAGGGCAGCGGAGATCTTGAAGTCAGGCATACATAAGACTGTAACCTTTTCCAGTAATAAGAAAGCTCAATCAGTATATCAGAAGGTCCTCTGAATCACGAGTCCCAGAGATGAGGCGGAGAAAGAAGTGTTCTGGCCACCATCGTAGAGGGGTTGGCCGTTGTTGACCCTCGTGGTCATCAAGCATCATATCACGTGGGCGGTGGGAGATAGGCTGAAGCAGCAGCTAACAAAGCCGGAGCTGCAACTTCTCTGGGCTTCTAGCTTGATCTACCAACCGTACAGAGACTTGTGGGATGACCAAGACTGCGGGTGAAGACTGTCTTCCCAGCTCTTCTGCCAGCCATAGAGTAAAATAGCCAGCTGGATGATTAATAACGCGCAGCGAATCCGCACATCTTCCTAGGCATACCCAGGGCTTGCTTCGGTTCTTGCGACCTTTGCACAGACAAGAGGCGGTGAGATAATCCTGCAGCTGTGCGGCCTTTATTCGAAAACGCCCAAGTCACGAGAAGAACCAGCCATAGCAAAACGCTCGCCCGATATGCATGCTCAAGCTCATCCCAGAAATTCTCACGTCGGTCCGACCAGTTCCCGTATAATTTCCCTGTGGGGAAGGCGAAGGCTGAAGCAGTGAAGCTCCGCTCCCTCACGTGCTGGTACTAGGCTCCAACAGGACTAGCGCTGGAGCTGCCGGACATTTTGATCGGAGCCAGCATCAATAAGTTGTGTTATCAAAAAGTATCACCGCTGAGTCCAGCAACGTTCCTTGTCTCTTCGTTTTGTCGGACTTGTGGAGTGTGTCTCAGCTGGGGTCTCGGGTCTTTTCTTCCTTGCCTTGCCGGTAGTTTCATTTCCTCTTGACAGCAGTGTTCTTTCTTCCTCAGTCGTTCTTTGCTTGTGACAACCCCGCCTTGCCTCTGACGACTTGACGACGCTCACGAATTTCCTGTATTTTTACATGGTCTTTTCTTTGCGAGGTGCTAAAAGTTCTCCGCCTGCTATCTGATCCGATCGGAGCTTTACTCGATTCACCGAGTCAGAGTCTCGGTTGATCGTCCTAACGGCCGCTTTTGAATAAAAACGGCGTTTCGGGAAAATAGTCGTTGACAAGTTATATTCTTGATCTGAGATCTGAAATGGCTTCAGGTAAGACAATGGCCCTTTACTCGGCCTCTCTTCCTCTCTGTTCTGTCCCAGCGAAGAATCATCCAGCCCTAACAAAGAGCAGACATTCCAAAAGTAGTTCCTCTTACCTGCCATGGGCATTCTCGCCCCGTGCCGCATTTGAGCTTCTCTTCCACCGTTGAAGATGACCAGTATTATCTCATCTCCGCCTGCAAAGGTATCGATTGCCTCAAACCTCGCACGTAACACAGCAGATTTAATCGAAATTTCCAGATAACAACCCGATGCTGAGGGATGGAATAACGGGCGATTGGTACGTCTTGAATTGAACCCAATCCTTGTTTGCTCCTTAGCTAAACAACGTGGTTTAGGATTGGTACTTTCCTCGGTCACAAAGGCGCGGTATGGCAGGCCCGGCTATCGACGGATGCCACCATTGCAGCAACGGCGGCCGCAGACTTCTCTGCGTATGTCTCTCCCTTTCACGCCGTGGTTGTCTGAGAATATCCGCCCTAACCTCATGACAACAGTAAGGTCTGGGATACCCACACCGGCGAGTGCCTGCACACTTTACAGCATTCCCACATTGTCCGAGCCGTGGCTTTCCCCATCCAAACATCTCCCCAGGTCTTGGCTACCGGTGGAGTGGAGAAGAAGCTACGGATCTTTGACTTGAGCCGCAGTGAGGGCAGCAACGGTTCTTCTCCTTCTTCTCAGTCCGGCGGTGTCAGCGCGCCGGGCTCAAATTTACTCACGAGTTATGAAATTGGGCCAGGTGTGCACAATGGGACCATTAAATCCATTGTCTGGAACCAAGATTACAACATTCTCACCACAGCTGCCGAGGATCGGAAAATCAGATGGTGGGATCTCCGATCTCGGCACCCTGTCGTCGAGTTCGCGGTTGAAGGCACGATCGGGAGCTGCGAGTTGAACAGCCTGGCCGTCCGGCCCAACGATCCGGGCATTCTCAGCGTCGCAGCGGGGAAGAGTGTGTATCTCTTCGACGGCAGCACCCCTGGTCGACTCTTGAAGAAGATGGACTTCCGGTACGAAGTTGCCAGTGCGGCGGTGAACAACGAGACCGGCCGCCTCGTTGCTGGTGGTGCCGAGGATACATGGGCTCGCGTGTACGACCTGCACACCGACGAAGAATTGGGTATGCCAGAACTTTTCCCTTGCGCATGATGTCCTTCTCTCACTAAAGATTCTATGCAGAAGTTCAAAAAGGCCACCACGGGCCCATCTGGTCCATCAGCTTCTCTCCCGATGGCAAGCTCTACGGCACTGGAAGCGAAGACGGGACCATCAAGTTATGGAAAGCTTGCCGAGAGCCGTATGGTTTATGGCGGTAATCATGTTGAAATAAATATAATACGAACTTTACCTTTTGAGGTACCGTCTAGTGATCACTTTCAGAATTCATGCCCACCCACTATAGGGTAAAATCAACTACCTAAGATAAATCCAGTATTGAAAATTGAGAATTACGGAAATCGACTATGATCAATACATACCGCCGTAGATAATTCACCGTACCTTCATACGGTCTACACCTCAAGAGGATAAATCACCCTATGTTCTCAATTTGATACATTCCGATGATACACCATGACCGGGAAGTGACAGAACGAAAAAAAAAACGGAGTAGAGAATAGTTATGACCCAACTAGATGTACTTTTCAGCCTAGAGGTGGAATGTCAACCTGCCAAAAGAAGAGAGGGAAAAAAAGAGAGAGAAGGGAAGGAAAGCGGGAAAAGGATCTTCATATGGAGTTCAATGACGGATGTGTTCACTCGATCATATCAATATCGTCATCGTTCACCACAGGAGCAGTAGCAGCCTGTGTCTCTGCTGCCACCGGAGCAGCACTGCCAGCATCAGCAACACCCGCACCAGCCTGCTCCTCGGTGCCGGCTCCCGATTTCGCAGTTCCCCAGTAGTCTTCCATCTCCTGGTCAAGCTCTTCCTGGGTCTTGCGAGGCCGACTGTTCGGCGCACGGCGGTCGCCCTTGGTTTTGTCGTCCCGGCGTTCACCACCTCCTTGGCGCCGATTGGCACCGGCACCGGCACCAGCTCCGGCTCCTCCGGTCCTGCGAGGCGAAGTCCGTTGCCTAGGCACGTAGCGGTCAATGTGGTCGGGAGCAGGCTTCGACACATCGCTGCGGCGGATACGACCTTCGCCGCGGCGGCCACCGCGGCGGCGATCCCCATTGTTATCACGGTCATTGCCTGGGCTCAAACTGCGTGCATCTCTTTCGCGAGGACGCTCCACCCGATCAAAAAGACTTCCCTTCGGTTTCTCCACGTTGTCGAAGGGATTGCGGTCCCGTCTGCCACCACCGCCGGGAGGAAGTAGCGTCAAGCGAACAGGCTGGCCCTTGGCATTGGCACCGTCGAATTCGGAGATGGCTCGGCGCGCATCACCAACACGGTCGTACGTAACGTAAGCAATGCCTTCCGAGCGCCCGGCGCGATCATACACGAGAGAGACGGCAGAAATAGTACCGATGCGGGAGAAGAGATCCTTTTAAATCACGGTTCCGTCAGCCATGAAACAGATGCAAACCTTTTCGGGTCAGAATCGACAAACCTCAAGATCGCTCTCAGTAATGTCGTAATGAAGGTTCTCAACACGAATTTTTGCACCCCTGGACAAGAGATTAGTGTTTGCTTGGCATACACTTCGTCAGATTGAAAAGAACGGCATACTGATCGAGGGACGACGAATATTGGTCACCATGGGTACGTCGCTGGGAACGGTACGGACGGGCTAAGATGAACCGTTAAAAACGCGGGAGGCATGAATGGCGACATGACCGTGGAATCAACAAACGCACCATCTCTGTCGTCTTCGAACTTGTCGTGGACCCAATCGCTATACCACGAGAAGCAGTCAGCACGGCCATCTTCACATCTTGCTCCAGAAAATCCTTGCAATTACCGATCTAAATCAACGCGCTCATCTCTGTAGGGCTGTTCAAGTCGTAACCAGAGAGACAGTGTCAGCCAAGATATGTCATGGAAGATGGCTCCATTTCCTGAGGCTCATGCTGCAGCCTTCCAAGCAGACCAATGTCACATCTTCTCTTTTGTGCGTCATCAAGCGCCAGGAGGATTATTCGAAAGGAGAACAGGAGGGAGGGACCTAGGGAGCTTGTGGTCAGTCAAGCCCAGCTGCGGGTTGAGTGGGTGTGGCACTGGGCAACGCTCACCTTTTTCACGCCATCACGGCGACGATTCTGTGGTTGGCGACGACCACGGTTCTGATTCTGATTCTAGTTTTATGATAGTCAGTATTAAAACCATAGAGGTGATCTATTGAGCAACAGTTGCAGTGCAGATCATTCAAAACCCAGGATAAGAATCAAGCTAGCTAGCTTACAGGACGTTCGGCGATAATCTCATCTAAGCTGCGATCCATCTTAATATAATTTGGAGTCACTAAGATGTGTGATAGAGAAATTGACGAGAAAATAGAATAGGAGGAGAGTAGAGGTTTCTTGACTCAATAAGCAGAAGGTTGCAAGTGGACAAGCTGCTTAAGCAGAGCTAAACATTAAACAACAGATTCATCACGTGATAAGAAAATAAATTAATTTAACCAAGCAGATAACTGTATAGTAAGTAGTAGTAACTAGAAGGTCGTAAGTTAATAGACTGTTTCTCTACAACATCTGCCTGGTTTCCTTATGATATAATATTTAACTTGGTAGGGTAAACAGAGCGATTTTCCAGGAGCTTCCCTGATCTTATAAATTATGAATATTCTCCCTCTCGTGGGCTTCCCATTATAAAAATTTCCTACAGTCTCACCTTCGCATTATATATTTCTGATTTTTATAATATTGCATTTCAAAACAACGTGCCCCTTTAGTCTGATGAATGAAAGGCTGCCTAGATAGAGCACTTACGGAGTACCTAGGTATTAGAATACTGCTAGAGAGTCGACTGTGGTGGAAGTGTATGTATTCAGCACTTATTACTCGATGTTTCAATATGGATTGTTATCAATTGATTTCATACCCTGATATCCTCTTTACCAGCAGTGACTTAGTGACGGCTGCTGCTGAAGGAGTTGGATGTTGCCGATGATTCGGACTTGTATACCGCGTTCACTCTGGCGGAGCTGTAGGATCTGGTTGAAGCATTGCCCGATGCTTAGACAGCTTTTATAGCGATGTGTATATAGCTTAGTTTATATATAGCAAGAGTTGAAATACTGGATAGCATGAAAGATTGGCTGATGTTGTTCTATTCTGCCCCCTGCCACCACTTTCCTAATCAGTGAGCAGAGGCACAAACTCCTTTCCTCTCTCTTCCCTCTTCCCTCTTCCCTCTCCCCCTTTATCTTTCATCTTTCATCTTGATAGTTGCCAGTACTTTTCCATTTTCATCTGACCGTACCGTCGCATCTAGACCAACTTCAAAAACGATGACCCGCGATACAAACGATTTTCGGTTGACAAGCCGAGACAGACCGGCACACGCCTGGTAACATTCATTCCATAGAATCTTGCTTGAAGATCTGACATGAACTGGCATCTTCCTCAAATGGTAGAATCGCTTTCCGAGTCGCCGGGATAATCTTTAAGGGAGAGTCCTTCACTCTTGGCAAGCTGTCGCAATGCCTGATATGCTGAGTGATAATACTTGTAGCTGACGTGGGTTTTTTGGGCTAAACGAGCAGAACTCCTAGCCGCATGCAGTGCCTCTTCCAGGACAGCCGGATCCTTGGTATCACTGGTTTCGTATTGCAGTTTCAAATGTCTCGCGAATACATTTAGCATCCCCGCACGGTCGAGGGAAGAATCCTGAGAGCGGTCTTTTCCGAGAGCCTGCCGGTCTATGGCGATGGCTCTAGCTATGTGGTCCTTTTCTCTGGTTTCGCTAGCATGAAGCCCAAGCAAGATTGCCAGAGAGCGCAGTGCAACGACCCGAAGTGGGTTCATGTCGGATATCATGTCCACGGCCCTTTGGGCTGATTTAATGGCCTCGTCAAGATCCCCGACATGTTTGTTTGGACTTTGATACCGATTACCCAAGATGACGGCCCGTGTGTGCGAAAAGTATTTGCTGTCTTGCTCGGTGATGGTGTGTTCCACAGGATTGAGAGCCATCTCAATGTCCTCAATCGCTTGGTTAATTTTCTCTTCCCCCCAGAACCGCAGTATAAATCCTTGACCGAGAGCAGCGGCGCGGGCTTCCAAGGCTCGAGACCGATTGACGTGGTCAGGAGAGGTAATTCTGATTGCCTGCTCGCTTAAGTCGAGAGAACACTCAATGTCCTCCTTACGTCGATCAATCAAACCTCTCATCACGTAAGTCCGGCTGAGGTCTATGAGTCTCTGAGCGCGTCGTGAATCATCTTGTGAACATCCACTCAACTGGACCTCTTGTCCCAATTCAATGGCATACGTCAGGCCCTGATGTAATCCTGTACGGAGATATTGTAGCCCTAAGCTCGGAATGAGGCAGCTCAACGCATCGTCGCGATTGGGGCTGCTAAAGACCGGGGTCCTTCGGTATACTTCGATCTCCTTAACCGCGGGGAGACTGGAACAGCAAAAAGCCAGCTCCGCCTTGGCTAAAAACTCCTGTCCATACTCCTGTCTCACCTGGTCCAACACTTCCGACCATTCCTTGTTCTCACCTTGCCGGATGGCATCCAGATGAACCAGCCATTGCCGCACTGCATAGTCCTTTATTCCGGGTGGATCCATCGCGTATTGGTGATAATATTCCGCCTGTGTGAACATTGGGGCATCCAAAAAGTCCTCCAGACTGTCTATCGCCGGTCCTTCCAGCAGCGGAGATGAGATGTACCTAGTGCAAATATCCATCAGAGTCTGATGACATTTCACGTCGGTCAGATCTTCGACCAGCCAATCTGGTCGCTTATCGTCAGCCTGTCTCGGACGAAGATAGTCTTCGACGGTTTGGTGGATGAAGTGAACCCGATTATCATAAATGACCAGAAAGAAGTGACACGTTTCGTGGATTAATGCTTCGTATTCTTTACTGTCTTGCACATACAAGTCTTCGGTACTGGTGATCTCTTCCGAATCCTTGATCTCGAGAGCGATATTCATTTCCGTCACTGTTAGAGGTCGCTGGGCGGCCAAGAGAATCTGCAGCATCGTCTTCACCACGGGTCGATCCTCCTCATCGATCCTATCAAGAAACGCCCGGTACGTTTCAAAGGCAGTGCTAGGCAGGGACTGGAACACCTTCAGCCAGCTCCTAAGCTGTATCCGAGGTGTTTGGCGGTTAAGGTAGTCATACAGCAGTCCAACAAAGAGGTACGTCCGATTGGCGTAGACCCGGTCCTGAACCTGATCCCGGAGTTTTGACTGAAGACTCTTGTCCCTGATCTTCTTCTCCTGGAAGAAGTGCTGCAGCTGGTCTTCGGCTACCTTTGCAATGTCTGCAGACAGTGACTCACTGCAACTAGTATCTTCATTCACGTTCAAGACCAATTCGGACTGAGGGAAATTTTCCAGAACCCGCTGAATCGGGCGGGACGTGAAGAGAAATCGGACGGGTGAATCAGAGAAATGGCGAATCTGGTCCAGCAGCGCCTCCAGTTGGTCTGTATCAACTTCATCCAGGGCATCCAGTAACACCGTGACGCTTCCAGGAGCGACTGTCGCAGTTGCCTGTTTCAAGATCTCGCACAGTCTTGAAATGTTGAATCGCATATCCTCCGTGTCAATAGTCTTTACCATATCTTGCACGCCGGCGATCAGATCCTCCCGGGCCCGAAAAAGCTCAGACAGTATCTTGCAAAGAGCGATGTTCGCTTTGTGTTGATTGCCCATGTTTAGTTTGAAAAAGAAGGAACATACTGCGTCTGACTCGCCCTCAAGCTCGTCAAGCACAGACTTGAGCAGGACAGATTTGCCGGCACCCGGATTGGCTGCGAGAAGAAGCAGATTCTGCTCGCCAGACTGCCATTTCTTGAATTTCGGATGGCTTCGAACACCGCTATTCGTTGTTTCAAGGGGAGTCTTGATCTTATCCAGATACTCGCGGTAGGCCTCGAAGTTGTGTTGCGTCGGATTTGGCGTGAATAGCTGGATGAATTTGCTTCGCTCTTCCGCCTGGTCATGCTGCTCAATATATTCATAGTGCTTGTTTACAACAGCCAGCAGTGACGATCCAGTCTCCCGTGCCTGACGGAGGTTATGCAATATCTGCGTTTTCTGATCATATTGGATATATTTTTCCACTTGTTTCTCGGCAGCTTGGATCTCTTGCAGTCGGTCTCCCCATTTGGTCGGGTTCATTCCATCTTTAGCCCAATTACGGACTCGATGACGGCCAGATTCGAAGGTGAGAAGCTGGTACGTTATGATGAGCCGGTAAACCTTGGTGATCGCTTTGCGGATGTGGTTCCTGGATTCTTGGTCTTGGTCTGGTTTCAGAAGATCGATCAGGTAGATATACCACGGCAGTTGCGAGATAATATACTCCAGCCCTTGGCGATTGTCTGCGAGTGCCTTGCCATGGTTGAAGACCTAAAAATATCAGCTGGGGTCAGGTTACGGTGAAGGTTGAGAGAGATTACAGGCGCTGTGAGCAAACAGACTCCTGCCCAGACGATCGCAGCGGGTGGATAAAGACTCAGAATGGGACTAATGATTGCGTTGGTATTCTCAAACACGCTTGAAATTCGGACGATTGTTTTCGAGCGGTTAGATTCGACTGTGTCTTGATTCACCAATCCTGTCATTAATTGCTCTCGGGCAAGCGAGTCGAGACTGGCGATCTCGCGTACCAGAGAGCCGCTTCCATCTTCATGCCGGGACAGGATCTTCGATCGAATGGCTGCCTCATACGCACTGGCAATATCCATGATGGATCGATCCTCCAGGGCCTGGTAGTATGCTTCTTCCCATAGGCCCTGAGCGTCGAACGATGGGTCTGCTCTTGGTACAGGCTTAGACTGTACCTGTACCCAGTTTTTTTCTTCATATCGAGGAGGTAATAGTTTATAACTCATGGTGACGAATTGGTCCTGAAGAGAGTTGTGAGAAGCTGTGGCGGGGTATCGTTTTCAGACAGCTGACTAGTCTATTTATCTATTCCGTATGCCTCGTATTCAATTTATTGATGTCTTGCAGCCTCCAATCATCGAGGTGTAATAAGGGGTTGGCTTGACTATTTCTATAATTGACTGTTTCAAGTTACCTTCACTGATTGGGATACCCAGGGGCGTATGTATCTATGACTGTGAAGATATACTGGCCTGTTTGAGCCTCGCTTCGTAGACAGGTCATGAGAAAGATATATTATAATAGTTGTAATTATGAAGACTTATTACTACTGAAGCTACCTAGGGAGTAAAAAGTGGTGATCAAGCCCATGATAGGGGAAAAAAAAGGCTGTGCACAAGTAGATCCATCAATTCGGTGACTTATGCCTCTATACTAATTTACCTGGCCATGGTCACCAAAAAAATATATGATTACTATTCACTATCACACTCAGAGTAAACCAGCCTTAAGAGGGATAGGTAACTATGTAGGGGGATGAACGAGAAGAGGGAAAAAAAGAAAAAGAAAAAAACAGTCTGGACAGAATCGAGAATGGCTGTGGATATATCCATATGGAAGAAAACGAGGGCTTGTTGGGCGCAAGGCCCGATGTCGCAAAATGGATCAGAGCAAAAAGGACGCAATGTGAGGCAGAATATGACCAGCAAAAGACTTCAATCCCCGAGTGATTATCAGCTCCATGAAAAAACTCCCATAATGATGAATCCCACACCCAACTACCAAGAAATGCTTCCCAGCGCGCGTCTATCTATTTAGTTGGCTCCATTTGCAGCTGCAATTTTTTGCTGGTTGTCGCGTTCCATCATCTTTTGCATGAAACTAATGTAGTCATACTTGGGAAGATCCCGATCTTCAAGTAGATCTGGACCTTCATGCTGAGGCATTGTCTGCACCAAGTGATCAATGACTTCGTCCGGAATAAGCGAGTGCCGAAGATCCAGCTCGGTGACATATGGCTGCAAAAAAATATAAGTATCCCCGAAAGAGATTTAGTGACGGGAGAGAGATGGGAACATACCTTGCCGTCAGCCACTTCGCGGAAGCTCTGAAAGACCTGCTCAGCCGTATTCTGGTCCTCGGTAACGCTGACCATGAATCGGATGAATTGTTCAAAACTGACACCTGCATTCTGGGCTAAGCGTGCTGGCCCACATGTTTCGACATACACCTCGTGCATTTCTTGCTCGTCGTAGACCAGACCTAGACTGGCCAGGGCGGCAGAAAATTCGAGTTCATGCAGCGTATTGGACGAGTCGCGGTCAAAATGACGGAAGACTGACTCAAATTCCTCCAGCTGGATGGGCGTCAAATTGGTCATATTACGGGCAACAAGCTGGTTGTCTAAAAATGCCAACTTCTTGCCAATGCTGGATTTGACCAGGCTCAGTTCGTACGACAGCTCGTCCAAGGTGTAGGTGGTGAAGTCGTTTTCTTCAATGTTTGCTTCGGCGCATTGCTCCTCCAGCTCAGCGATTGTTTCCAAGAAGGCATCCAGAGGGGGGAGATTCTCGTTCAGTCGCTTCACGTGATCTAGCTGATCCTCGATATCGCCGTCGAGCCCAGAGATGGCCAGAGACAGAGTCTTCAAGGTGAGGGCAAAATCATTGGCTTTGTCTGCAAACGAACGACGCAGGGCGTTCTTGATATCTCGAATGGTCTCGTTGATCAACTGGCTCCGTTCATGCTCGTGGCGCGTCAGAGTTTCCCACTCCTGGTCACAGACCTCCAACCGGAGGTCCTCAGGGGGATCGTATGGACGGAGCCGATAGGTGCTGAGTTTGGTTTTGATGTTGCCCAACAGGGCGGCAAGGTCTGATTTCTCGGCAACCCATTCTCGCTTCTGGTTCTTCTTGTACAGTGAGAACTGGTTAAGTTGCTCCTTGGCGTCCTTGTAGGTCCCCTCGAAGGAGGAATTCTTCCACTCTTCCCGCTGCGCCTTAATCAGACGAAGAAGCTCCTTCATTCTCCTCTCGTACGAGTTCTGCATCTCCCATGCGCCCTGCATGTTGTTGAAGAACTTCTCCACCCGGCGGCCTGCATTTTCCACGCGCTCCAGCTGAGAAAAGGCATGGAACCAGTAGGCAATGTAGGTCATCAGAGAGCGTTCGTCGGGCCTTGCAACATCGCAGACATCGTCTACATCAAGTAAATCCGGGATACCGATCTCATTGGCTGCAATATCAAAGGCCAGCTGCATGTTGCCGCGGTGGTCATTCTGGTCGAGGGAATCAAAATCGATGAGGTCCGGACGATGGATGTCGAGCAGCGCACAGAACGCCAGGCCGTCGTTCCAGCTGGTGGAGAAATCCCGGATCTCAACCCCTTCGTAGCACGCCGTCTTCCGTTGACACCATAGCAGCAAGCCTTCCTTGGCCGTCATGCCCTCCTCATTGATATCACTGATTGTAAACCGCAGAATGAGCGTCCATATCAGCCCGAGAATGATCTTCTGGTTCCCATCGACAATATCTTCTGCTCCGATGTTCGTCAAATGGATACGCCTCCCCTTAATGAAATCGAGGCCCTTGTTGACATTTTCGAACCTTTGTACGCGCAGCTTGGGCTTCGAGGCGTACCGACCGAGAGACTCTCCACCCAGGATCTCGAGCAGGTGGATGAGGATGACCTAGCAGAGACCGTAGGTTAGCTAACATTAATAGATACACCAAGAGACTCCAAACTCACTCCATCAGACAGGTCTGTCACCAGGTTATCGATGAACTGCCGTCGGACTTTTAACTTGTCGTTGAGCCTAAGCAGTCAGCCACCATCACCACCACCACCACCGAGGCACAGATAGAAAACAAGGGATATCGGCTTATCTACCATTTTGTAAATGTCTTCTGTTGCACATTCACCCAAGACTTCTCGACCTGCAACATGATTACAGAAGGCAGGACATCAAGGGCTTCACAGGCACAGGAAAAACAAGCAGTGTCGGAGGGGAAGAGAAGGGGTCGTGCAAGGGAAGGTTAATAATAGCAGTGTGTATCCACATGCAGCAAGGGCAAGGAGCACCAGATTGCAAGTCTCACCAGCTAGTTAAGTAATAGTGTGGTGATTCAAACAATGAGAAATCCGCCTCTTTGGGCTGTGGTTTGCCAGGGGCGGGGGAGTCGGCGCCAACCTTTTGGGCCAAACAGAGTCAACAAACGGCTCCGCGGCAACGGTGCCTTGGTGCCTGGGGCAGGCAGGAATATATTTAGCATACTACATACGACATACGACACAGTACCTTGGTAGTGGTCATTTTATCTTATTATAGCATTGTAAATAATATTGTCTCTTATATACTTAGCTATGTCTTCTCCAATATAGAATAATACCCGAGTTAACGTAGGGGAAGCCCTATATAGTCGATACTATACTGCGTACAGCAGACAGAAGAGTCTTGTATAGGAACCCTGGCGTACATTGAAGTTATTGTTGTATAAAAAACTCAAAGATACTCTATAGATATCTATAGTATGTCTCAATAAGAGTTAGAAATAATTACCTATTAAATCAGGGTCTTATGTACTCCTGACTCGGTCAGAACAGAGATCATTGAATATCGAGCAAGGTTACGCATTAAACCAATTTTCATCAACAGACAAGAGCTCATGACAGAAGAGATTAAGTGAGATTTCGTCTTTTATGAGCTCTTGTCAATCAGTGGTTCTACCTATTACTTTTTGGTCCAAGGATGATATCATCTAAGCTATGGCGGGGCAATCCACGCGAACCACCCAAATTTCGCAGAAGGTTCCGCGATCGTCATGCTCAACCACCTAGGTATCAACATATAGTTAACTAATTTACTACAAAGGTACCTCATACGCATCCTTAGAGAGGCAAACCCCGAGTTTCTCACAAATCCATCATGGCGTACGCTATTACCGACACCCTCGCCCTCCCCAATTCCTCCGTTCGCATCCCCCGTCTGGGCTTCGGGGTGTACCGGTCAGCGCAGTGCGGGGAGTCAAGCCAGCACGCCCTCCAGGCAGGATACCGCCACATCGACACGGCACAGTTCTACCGCAACGAGCGGGAAGTCGGCGAGGCGATCCGGCAGTCTGGGATTCCGCGCGCGGAGCTCTTTGTGACCACCAAGATCATCAGCCCCGCCGGTTCGCCCGAGGCGACGTACAAGAAACTGTGCGAGAGCGTGGAACAGATCGCGGGCGAGGGGCCAGATAGCTACGTCGACCTCTTCCTTATCCATAGCTCGTCTTCGGGGCCTGCGGGCCGGAAGGAGCTGTGGCTCGCGCTTGAAAAGTTGCTCGCAGAGGGCAAGACGCGGAGCATCGGAGTCAGTAACTATGGGGTTCAGCATATCGAGGAGATGAAGGCGTATGCTACCGTGTGGCCGCCGCAGGTGAACCAGTTAGAGGTGAGATTTAATATGTTTTTTTTTACTATTCCTGTTCTACTGTTTCACGTTTGATTCTGTCATTGGTTATCTAAGTACTGGTTTTGATCAATCAAATAGCTGCATCCATGGTGCCAGCAGCGGGTCATCGATGCATACTGCAAGAGGCACGGCATCGTTGTCGAGGCATATTCGCCCATTGTCCGCAATTACAAGGCCAACGACCCTACGTTGGTTGGCCTCGCCCAGAAGTACGGAAAGACCACACAGCAGATCTTGATTCGGTATGCGCTGCAGAAGGAGTGGGTGCCGCTACCCAAGAGCGACGATCCTGCCCGTATCGCGGCCAACGCTGCCATCTATGATTTCAACATCTCCAGTGAGGACATGGCGGTCCTGAACGCACTGGACCAAGGCCCCGCGGGGGCGATTGTGGAGGCGGTTGAGAATGAGTGAAGACATCGGCTTGGAATGAGGGGGGGGGGGGGAGAGCAACCCCCTGGTTATTTACCTCCTTCTACAGACAAGCTTCAGTAATCTGGCCGTTCCATCAGAAAGGCGTTGACCGATTGCAAGGTAGATCTTGAAGGATTCGCGTCGGGTTTTGATGACATGATCCACGCAAGGCGCTGTCGGATAAATTGTTTATTCATGGCTTGCCCTTGTTTCTGTGTAGAGAAGTCGCCTGTAAATAATGAGCAATGAGAAGCTTTCTAATACCCCAACACCGAACGTATACCTACCGCTATCATCATAGAACAGACACAAGATGGTGAGGAGAGTTCCTGCAGAAAGATCTTTACCCGACTCACAGGTAACCAGCAACTTGAGGGATGGGTCAGCGCCTAGCCGCGACCTGACAAAGGCTTGCACTTTGTCCAGCGACTTGCGGAGATCGCGACTCCCTAGTTTCAATGACCCGCAGCCTAGATCGAGTCGGTTTGGACTCTCGTCGTCAGTGTTTGGCTTGCCGTTGCAGTCAATGACAAGGTCATAGGCCCCGCTGTCATGCAGTTGAGGGTCTCTTTGGCTCAGGAACAAGTTTTTGGTCGGTAAAATCAGGTGAGTCTGCTGGCCATCAGTTTGCTGACGATATTCGCCCATCAGCTCTTCGATAAAACCTGGAAGGTCATCCTCGGCCGTGGCAAAGAGGGCGGACTTGTTCGCCCAAAAGACTGGAGGTATTAGTCCATGAGCCCAGCCTTCACTGTCATCTCCAGCTCCCTGGATGTAACCTCCCTCAGATATCTCAGCTCCATGGACTCGTTTAGACGCAGAGCATAACACCAGGAGATTATACCCTTCCCCCTTGTGTAGGTCTGTGGGATGGAAGTACGATCGATTTGCCCACGCAACTCGAATCGGGTTTCCAAGTTGTTGCCTGAGGTCACCCAGATCCAACTTCAAGTCCTACAAATACGTAATGCGGGTTAGTCGTCTCCTTAGTTGCGCCTGATAGATCTTCCAACCAAAGAGGGCAGGCTACCTTGAGGGATTTAACGAAGCCGTCAATTCTCCGTTCAATCTGGGATTCTTCTGAAGACCCCAGGAAGTTCGGAGGGAACTGGACGGCGTGATAGGTGCGCTCAGAAGGAAAGAGGGCTCGATTGAGGACAGCACACCATATAGGGACAGTCTTGGAGAGGGCATCCGGCATAACTGTACGGTTTCTTATTAGCAAAGAATTTCCCTCGACCAGGCCAAGAAGAAAACAACATCATAGCACGCTAGACCACGAGACGTTCCGCAAAGGTCAACGGCTAGAAGGAATGAAACCATTTACTCCATCCGGAATACTAATAGCTCGAGGAAGGTAGTAATGGTAGCTGGAGACTTACGTTTACCCCGACGTGTAGAATCCACAATGATACATCTGCACCAATAACAAGTCAGTCTAACATTTGGGCAATGGAGAAGCAATTGTTTCAATATCACCGTACCCTCCGTGTTGCCGAGCAATCGGGAGAACCTGGATGTTCAACCTGCGAAAGCTAAAGTCCCATTGGCCTGTATGACCATCCGTACTCTTGAAGTAGGCACTACCTGTCTTTGCCTCGGGAGGAATATACCAGCTGCCACATCTCTCGTTAGCGACGAGTGGCAATCCATAGTGGTCAGCCACCTCTTGCACAAAGGTCGCGTCGGTTTCAATCGACCGAAGCCTATTCGTGACCGAAAGCGCGGATCGTCGCAGTGACGACAGCGTCTGAGAGACAGACTGGGCCGCCAAAGGGAAATGAAGTGACGATAGTGATACGGGATAAGAGCCGGAACCCTCCATCCTGACGGCCCCCTCCCCCGTTCTACCCTGCCCGCAATTTCCCGTCACTCCCTTCTGACAGGACTGCTGGCAGCAGGACCTGAAATCGATGACTCGGTGGTAAAAAGCAACCCAATCAGATGCAGGAAACCCCTTTCCTTCCCCAGCAAATTAGTATAGGCCTAGGTAAACCTCAATAGCCAAAGAGGGGTGACTGACTGCACCTGTCCTGAGAAGGGTAGCGCGGGGTATGCAAATGCACAGGCAACAAGCTAGTCAGACTCTCTCTCCCACTCTCTCTCTCTCTCTGATAATAATTCACTGGGATTGTGACTCGACTCTCATGAGACATTGGCTGACCTGACAGGACCCGGGTGGGATTGAGCGACCCTCGCGTCTGAAGTATCCCGTTGGCCTGTCCCTCGCTGTGGGTCTCAACTGAGGCCTTTGGGAGAGACGAAGGCGATTGGGCGATAAGGCAGCGGATGCCAACTTGACCCTATCCAGCCTAGCGCCAGTGTCCGTACGGCAGACCATTCCGCATTCTGCGCAGTTGCTGCTCAGCCTCAGTCAGCAATGGGAGTCAATGCACGCCTGCCTTGGCGCCCGCCCCGAGTGGTTTAGCTCGGCGGCACAAGCACACCGGTGTGTCGAGTCAGGCCCAGTCCGGAATAGCGTGCTCCGGTACCTAGGTGGGCTTAGTGCTGGGTAACTGAGCCTGAAGTCAACCCAGTCGCAGACGTCACAGTATGATCTCAGGCCCCACTGGCCTGCTCCTTCCTGCCTGGAAGATTCACTGGGACGGAGCGTCATTGCCTCCCCTGGCTCTTTCCTAGGAATCTTATTTAACAGTGCAATTCCCTGGGTTGCAATTCACTCATTCCTGAAAAGGCCCTCATATAAAAGCCTCGGATTTCTTTGATTGTCTGTTACCTTCCTTCTCTCTTCATCTCTCACCATTCAGAGAGCTTTAGTCTACCTCAAGTATCTTGTCATTCTCTAACACACATATACACATACCATCCCATACCAATCAATCAATCACCATGCCTAAGGTAAGATAGAGCTACTTGGTCTTCTATATCGTGTCATGGGACTGACAGTTGCCCTAGATCAACGAGATCTTCTTTGACTGTGACAACACCCTCGTCCTCTCCGAGGAGTTGGCGTTCGAGGCGTGCGCAGACCTTGCCAATGAAATCCTGGCCAAGCGCGACTACCGTGATCGCTACACCGGCGAGCAGCTCATCCAGGACTTTGTCGGCCAGAACTTTCGTGGCATGATGGTCTCTCTGCAGGCCAAGTACAAGTTCGACATGTCCAAGGAAGAGCTCGAGGAGTACGTCAAGAAAGAAGAGGACGAGGTGATCAAGAAGCTCGAGGCCAAGGCCCAGCCCTGCATTGGGGTCACCGCTGAGCTGGAGAAGCTCAAGCAGTCTGGCAAGTACGCCATGGCGGTCGTTTCGTCTTCGGCTCTGCGCCGGGTCCTGGCCTCAATCAGGAAAGTCGGTCAAGACAAGTACTTTGAAGAGAAGCACGTCTTCAGTGCCGCCAGCTCGCTTGACAAGCCTACCTCCAAGCCCGACCCCGCCATCTACCTTCACGCTCTGGAGGTCTGCCGTCGCCGCGCGGACGAGGTGGTGGCTGTCGAGGATAGTAAGTCCGGTGCCCTGAGCGCTATTCGGGCCAACATCCCCGTCATTGGCTACGTTGGCAGCTATAACGGTGTCGATAAGCAGATGGAGATGGCCAAGAGCCTGAAGGACCTGGGTGCCAAGGTCATTATGAAGGACTGGGCTGAATTTGAACAGTGTCTCCAGGAAATCGAGGCTCTTTGATTGGGGAGGGAACGCGGCGTTTACATTTCCTTCCTCTGTTTTCTTTTTTCCCTCTCGATTCCACATGAGTTATGACAGCGAACGCACCACTGGTCGTTACGGCGCTTTTTTTTTTCTTTTCTCTTCTTTTCTTTGCTTCTTCTTCTTTTACACACACTCTCTTCGACACGTCACACACTGCAGATTGCCCTGGTCGACCGGTCGATCCGAGGGCAATTTGTTTCAGTAATAAGGACTGGCTTTCTACTTTACGGGTTTCAGCGAGAGGACAGGCGTCCCGCCAACGGTTTTAATGGGTTTTATTTCGGCACCACATGAGGTTGCAATCATCAGATAGAGACTAAATGCGATACCACAGCCTTTTCTATCTCTCTTTTTATTTCGAGTGATATTCGTTTTCCAAGTGATATAGTGTACGCAGTAGTTGTTATGTGGTGACGGTCCTCTTGAACGCCCACCATCAGTGCCGCTAGGGCACACCCTAAGCAAATGTTCTCCGTTCCCTGGAGATTTGACACTGCCCTTTGACAGGCCCCGGCCATCCCGAACCCCCATCCCCCAGATTATGGTGCAAATGACAGGCCGGCTCCGATGACCACATGATCAATAGGTGAACGTGCGGAGTAGGGGAGGACAGAATACTTGATTTTGTTTGTCTGTCGGGCACCATCGCAGCTGCGGGAGGGGATGGCAGGTGATTCCGAGTCCAGAGCGTAAAACGTATACAGGTTTGAGGTCATGGGGTGCTGGATGCACCCGGTGTAGTACGCAGTATTTTGTACCTAGATGGTACTCTGTGCTTTGTCCCTAGGCAAAGTATTTGTCAATATGTGTTCCAAGGTAGCTACTATGTAGTAGGTAGGTAGGTACTAGGCAAGGTACCGGACCTATTGACAGTCCTGGACGAATCGGAAATACTAGATACATGTAGGACATTAGGCTACTGGTACAGACTTACGGCGATGGCTAGGTTCAGTATTCAGTCATAAGATTAATAGACTCAGTCATAAAGAGCTAGTAATATTACCACAAATCAGCAATAGATCATAGGTAAGAGGTAGTTAAACTGATTAATCGAAGGAATTACCTCGGTATTCGATAAGATAAGGGCTAGCCCTGAGGCCAACCCCTCCTCCAAGGACAGAGAGTACTTGCTACCTACTACCTCACCGAACAGAGTGTCCATAGCTAACTAGAGATATTGCACTTTATCAAAGGAGCCACTAATGTCGCAGTCAGAATCCAAATTACTCTCCCGGAGCCCACTGGTACGGACAAAGTTGCCTGTCTGCAAGGTGCCGACCCGTGGATACGCGCTGACCTGAATGAAAACCGGTCCAGGACCCCGCCGAGGCAAGATGGATTCGATTCGTCAAGACCACCTATACCGACCCGACGGGGGTGGAGAGAACATGGGAATCAGCAGAGAGAACGGTGCGTGTTTCTGACGCAGCTTGACAGGGGCATAGGAGGGGCATAGGGGGGGAAGCATTTCGCTGATGCTATCTTAGACACGGCCGGCTAACTGCCCAATCGACGGGGTCGGCATCGTGACCATCCTGCAGAAAGAGACGGGTCCAGAGCTCCTCCTGCAGAAACAGTATCGACCGCCTATCGACAAAATCACGATAGAGGTGCCCGCAGGGTTGATCGATGCCGGTGAGACGCCAGAGGAATGCGCCGTACGGGAACTGCGGGAGGAGACGGGCTACGTCGGGGTGGCCGAGGAGACCAGCACAGTCATGTATAATGGTGAGAATCATTCTGAAAAAAAAAAAAAAAAATAACAATAAGATTTTCACTAATTGTAATTGAAGATCCCGGCTTTTGCAATACCAATTTGAACATGGTCCATGTGCGGGTGGACATGTCGTTGCCGGAAAACCAGAACCCCAAGCCACAGCTTGAGGATAACGAATTTATCGAGTGCTTCACCGTCCCGCTAGCATCGCTGTTTGACGAGTTGAAGAAACTCGAGCAGGAGGGCTATGCGGTTGATGCGCGGATTGGGACGTTGGCAGAGGGGATTGAGCTGGCAAAGAAGCTGAACCTGTGATGTCTCATTTTTTTCCCTTCTATCTAGATTTTCCCTTCATCTTTCAATCCTTTGTACAAAGCCCAGGCGGCCAGGGTTTTCCCGTCATGCAAAGCCTCTTTCCACAAGTTCTCCAAGGGCACGATCTTGAGCGTAATCTTCTCCCCGTGGTCTCGTAGCCCTGTCAATCGGCCCTGCAGAGCTTCAATCTCCTTTCGGGGCATTTTCTTCTGGCAAAGGAACAACGGGATAAACTCGTCGCTCCCACCGGGAGAGGGATAGATCGCTTTCTGCAGCTCTTGTTCCCCGTCACGCCCTTCCCCACGGCACTGCAGCGCCAGCGCGGTCATGTCCAACAGTTCCTCCTGCGGGATAGAGAGCCCTGTCTCCTCCTCGATCTCTTTCGCCGCCGCGCCTGCAAACGTACCACTGTCATCGATCATCCCCGCCGGGATCTCCGCAAAGGCCAACGAGCCCGAGGGGATCCGCGGCTGGACGGTCAGGACCGCCCGCTTGTCCGTGTCGGATGACGAGTCTGGCACATCGTCGGGCTGGAGGATGAGCTACCGATGAGAGAATAAAGTTACCATCCGGAATGCGGATCCATGAGGGGTTTTACCAATAGATCCCTTACCAGCATACCAACGCTGCCCCCCCTCAAGAACACACTCCCGGGCAGTGACTCCCCCCGGTCGTTTGACACGTCCGCCTTGAGTTTTACAAAGCCCAGTCGCCCTCCACGAAAGTAATCCACCGCCTGGACCTCGATCTGGCGTAGAACATAAGGGCACGCGTGGAATTCATGGGATGGCTGCCCCTGGCGAGCCAAGGATCGCCGCAGAGTGGAGACCCAGATCTGGAAGGCCGGAAACTGCCACAGCTGCTTTGGCGACAGATCGGGTGGGCACTGGATCGGTAACCCCTGGAATGCCCCCTCCATCTCGAGATTTCTCCTTTTCTCACCGGCAGGTGTCAGGGTTGTAAGGTAACGGGGATGGATTGTCCTGACCAGAGCGAACACCAGCGCTGGTCCCTGGCCCGGTCGCAGCGTTCGCCACAGACCAGTCTTCATTCACAAGAGGCAGACGGAACGAACAGACAGCACCAACAAAAGTCAGTCGGTACCAGTAATCATGACTGCAGATCGAGAGAAGGAGAAGAGACGAGAAGTTCCGTCCAGAATGATTAGATGACGTCGCCAACACGAGCGGGAATTGCCAACCGGAAGCTGACCTGACCTGGCTTGAGCTTCTTTTTTCCCTCCCCCGCCTTCCTACGCGGTAGCATGACTAGAACAGACGTCGTCGCTCGAAACCAGGAAATCCGCCTCCGCGGGCATGCAGCGTCGCTCGCATATTAATACCTCCAGTCCATCCGATAAAAAAAAAGACGCCCCCCTCTCCCTCGCTCTGCGGGGTCAGACGCAGATGCCAATACCCGCCCAGCTGCCTGTGTGAGTTGCCACTGCTGCAGGCAGGCCTTGGATGCTGCTCACGCTCAGCTCCTACAGTCTTTGTTCTCCCCTCCCTGCCATTCCATTCTCCCATCTCCCTCCTTCTCCTTCTTCTTATTCTCTGTTCCCACTGGCTTATACTTTTTGTGTCAAGTGTGGTCGAGGCCCAGAAGCACAACGTCAGCCTTGCTGATAGAACCTTGAATCGCCCCGGTGTGGTTGAGCAGTTCTACCATGTGTTGAGCCGAGCCTCCTCCTCCTCGTGAAAGTTCCCCTCAGGGCTCTGTCTCTCGATGATGGGCATTAGACAAATCTGCTGGTCTGGCGCATGGTCGTGAATCTATCACCATTCCAACAATCAGTAGTAGCTTCCTGACAGAAAGAGACACTGGAGGGAACCATTCTTTGGGCTCGCTACTCTACTCCGGATGAGCTTCGAACCATGTTTACTGGGCTTTCTCATTCCATCCTGTCTAGTTGCGTCCACAAGTATGCTGTTGGGTGTCTGCAGCTAGAACCTATCTGTTGTGTCTGTATCAACCATCTCTCGAGCTCATCTACCCTGTCTTCTGGGAGGAGAGCATATATAGAATACTGTCGGATTTGTCAAAGTGCGTTTTTCCCTTGACTTTCTTTTTTTTTCTATTTTCTTTCCTATATTTTCTTTAAAAAAAATATCTATAAAACAACACTATCGGTCATTTCTTCCTTTAATGGTGGAAATCCCCCACCTTTTTATGTGTCACTGAATCTGGATTTAAAAGAGCATCTGGAAGGTTCTTGTCTGTGAAAATATCACTTATTGCTTTCACTCCTAGTGGTCTAGATTTCTGGAAAACTCCGCATTCATCTTGCCTTCGCGTCGAGGGCGAGGGCACCCCTCCAACACACGCGACTTCGTCTCCTGCTTCCTCTACCACTCCTCTCTCTTCGAGCCCTCCGCCAACGATCCGTCGTGTGGCCCCAAGAGCGAGAAGAGGCCGCTACGATACCTTGACTGCTCTCAGAGCAGAGTTCGAGGCCATCCAGAAAGGCGTCTCCAGGCTGCTGAACACCACGCAGCTCTGGGGATACCCTCTCGTCGACAACCCCTCCCTCTGCGTGTCCAGCTCGCCTGGCGTGTCAGGACGCGGTGTCATGGAGTCAGCGTCGTCTCGTTCGGCGGCGCCCTCGAGCGGAGATGACTTCAATTTCCAGCTGCCTACCCATCAGGAGGTCTTTGGCCCAGAGACATCCAACCAGCCGACTCCCTACTTGGTGCAGAATAACGTCCACGGCCATCTGCCCCCCCAGGCTGGCCACATCAATCCAGGTAAGCAAGCAAGCAATCAAGCAAGCACAGCCTGGTCACTCAGCTGAACTCTATATCTCCTTTAGAATTGTCCCAACCCTACTACAGGCTACCAGGAAACAACAGTCAAATGACTGGCATTTCAGGTTCCACCAACCCCACGGCAGGCGAAACAGGTAGCAGCGACGTGTCTGTCGATCCACGTAGTTCGTTTCCTGTCGCAGGCCCATTCCCAGCAGAGTTCTACAATTCAATCACCAACGGAATCTCCCCCCAGTTTCACCAATATTATTACCCAAGACGCACCATGCCCATAGGTCCAGGCGCTACCCGCGTGGCACCATATGGCTATGTGAACAACGGAAGCCTGCTGACTTCCTACCCCTACCCGTACTACGGATCTCCTATACCCTCATTTGGCCTGCCATCTGGAACCACGCCCGCCTATCCGTCTACGGCGGCCCATCCTGATCTCAGCCGAGATAGCCAGACTGCCTCGTCGAGTCCGGACGTCCCTCCGCTTCATCCACACCCTTTTGCCCGCCCTCAGATAGACACGCAGCCCTTACCGCAGCCAGCCTCGCAGTCTGGAATTGCGCGGGCGACCAATCAACCCCACCGACGCCACCACCGCAGCCAGAGCTCGTCCACCACCGCTCCAGCGCCGGCCAGTGGAGGAGTCCCGGCTGCTGCTCACGGCAGCGGACAACAGAATACTCGTCGACGCGCTCGCGGTGGAGGTGATGCCCATCCTCGGCCATTGACCGCGGGGGCGTCTCCTACTCGTTCGCAGCCAAACACGCAGACCGGCGGTGCGGTGATGCTCCCGGAAACGCCCTCGTTGGGTATGGGCGAGCTGTATCCCGTGCTTACATCGCAGGACATGGCACGGATGCAGCGCCGCTACGACGTGAACACCCTGATGCAGATGTCGTACTATAGCGACATGTATGCCCTCGGGGGGGCTGGAGGCGGCTCCCAGTCGAAGAAGGGGCTGGACAACCAGAACGACGGCCGACCGACGCCCAAGGAGTCCAAGGACTTGCTGACCACGCTGGAGTGCAAAATATGCATGACTCAGCTGGTGGACACAGTGATTATCCCGTGCGGCCATGCGGTCCTGTGCCGGTGGTGCGCGGAACAGCATATCCCATCGAGTCGCGTCGACGGCACCCGTCCAAAGACGTATTCGCTCTGCCCGGTGTGTCGGACTCATGTCATGAACAAGGTAAACACCCCGTCTAACGATGATTCTTTTTTTTTTTTCTTTTTTTGGAGTCAAGTTCGTGTTCTGACAAGCCAGTATCGGATTTTCTTCTCCTGACACACACACACACACGCACACCCCAGAATTGTCAGCGATTGGCCAAGAGTCTTCGCATTTCGATTCGCTGTGGATTGGACTCATGATGGAACTCGTAGTGATCTCTGCCTTGCCGGTTATCTTCTAGCAATTGATTAGCAATTGAATGAGCCTTAGTTATGTTCTATCTGCTCGCTGTAATTACTAGTAATTATCGTCTGTAGATGGTTGGTTCTGCAGCATCCACCACTGCCTCGAGGAATACAAAACCCAGCACGCGTTTTGTAGTATAACTACGAAATATGATATCTCGCCTGCCAAGATTCTTAAATCTAGAACACTCCATATACTCCGTACTACATGGTTAATCTGTACGGATTACAAGTACTTGGACTCAGGTACTCCATAAACCTTGCCTCCTACTCCATAGTAAGCAGAGTAAACCAACGGGGGTTTATCTTTTTCACCCGGGTGAATACCAGCATGCGGGCCACCAGGCAACTTGCCTCAGCCGAGTGGCCACAGCTGGCTTGTATTGAGGTAATTAATATGTACCTAAGTATGTATCTAAGCGCTAAATATGTACCTAGGTAGTTAGTAGTACCTAGTTATAATGTAAGATAATACCTAATTCCGTAGTAAATGATTTCCTAAATGTTTGGGTAGATATCCAACGTCAGCCGCGAGATCTTTCTCCCTATAATTAGTACCGAGCATGGCATATCAGATCTGTGTATCTCGTAGGTAGACTCGATTCAATACCTAATATCTGGTAAACAGATGCTCTGATCCTCTTGTCATATGATTGTATCGGGTTAAAATCACCCTTCGGCCCACGCTTGTTTAGGTGGTTACCTGAGGTACTGGCCTGAAGGATTGCATTTACCTGAGTATGCATCGTCAGTTCTTCTGTATTTATGGATCAATACCAATTGAAATATAAGAAGATAGCTAATATATCTAGATATAGATCTACTACATTAGCTATAGATGAGATAGCTTAGATAGGTAGGATAGGAGTGATACAGTTGCCCATCTAGCTATTTCAATTGTAACTGTTTGTTTATATGGCAGCCTCACTCTCTTCTCGATGAGGCTTGCTCCCAAAAGTCAAACACCTCTCCACCTGGGATATTCCTCATCTTCCCGGATCGCCACCGGTTTGTGATTAGCAGCTGGACTGGATGTCGCCGTATTGTTGTACAAGGCTTTAAATCCTGGGTGATATCAGTGGTGAGGTAGAAGGTTCTCCAAGTCACCGGGATACGGAGCCCATAGGACAACTCATGAGACACGTCAACATGTAGGTCGATGGAATGAGAAAAAGAAGTTGAGAAGGTTATAGCCTTATATCAAGTTGGTAGGTTAGATTGTTGGTAGATGTTGGTAGATGTTGGTTAGTACTTAGTTAGTAAGGAAGAGGTAGGAGGTAGTAACTAAATTAATTACCGTACTCCGTACCTAAGCGGAGTGTCGGTGAGGTCATGAACAAGGCAACCACACGGCAAAGTAACCTCTTAAACCTCAACCTTCCCCTCATCTCCTAATTCTGCCTTCTCTGCCTCGTGTTGTGGACTCTAGTGCTCTCGAATAATAATCTTAATCAATAGCCTTTTCAGATCAGGCAGCTGGAGGCGGTCGTTTTTTAACCTTTTTAGAAGATGAAGTTCAGCCCGACGCTTTATTAGCTGGCTTCAGTCGACTTCTGCTCTGTGGTGCTCGTTGCCTTTGCGCACCGCGTGTGCCTAATCCTCTAGGTGGTATGTTTCTATCTCGGCTTCTGTTGTTATAAGACCCCCGGTTCCTGGCGCCCCGTGTCTCTAAGCCTCAACTACACGTGTCGTGTTCTTTTTTTTTCCATCCTGTCCAGTCATAGCTTCTTCTTGTATGCTCGCTGACAATCAATCCCTGCATTCCATTCTGCAGACTATGTGAGTTGCCAGTGCATCCTGCAACGAGAAGCTTTCTGGATGAGGAGGTCCCTTTTATACGTGCAATGAGCAGCGACCATACGTCGGAAGAAAGAGCTACAACGCCATCGTTGGATGCAGTCGGTGGAGATGATAGCAGGACCAGTCCGAGACCTGTCGATCACGACAAGTTGAAGTCTGTCTCTCGTTCTATGCCCCGTCATTTACCTTTTTATTTCCTCATCCTGTTGCCTTTTTTTTCCCCCCCCTCTCATGCTAATCTTGTAGGCGATCATCTAGATTAACCCTCGAGGACATTACCACGGTGGACTCAGGAACCGCCCATTCCGCCTCTCCATCCGAGCCCTCCCTATCAATCCAGCGGCCGTATTCGGCGGGTGGCCTGCCCGACGTTCGGAAACTAGATATTGGAGCCACAATATCATCGCACAGTGTAGCACATCGGACACGGCTGCATCCTCCTTCGCCGAGGCATAGTCCGGATGGATTCAAAGGCCGTCGGAAACGGCCGGCTCATGATTTGGAATCGCAAGGTACGCGACCGGTTCACCATGGTGCCGATGCGACTCCCAAGGCGGTCGCAGAGCCGGCCTGCGATTGCAGCGAGCAGAATCATCGAGAGGGCTCGCCATTGCGCACAGAAGTAAAACTGCAAGCCCAGCCGCCGATTCATAGCACCAGCAGCCACAAACGACCACGTGGATCCACGCCAGGCACCCATCATCATAATCATCATCATGGCGAGGGTTCTAAGCTGGTTGATGCAAATGGCATGTTTCTCCAACCAGAGACCCACCCAATCACGGAAGAGCAACTGACTCGTGAAGTTCGAGGAATCTATGCGGGGCTGACCATGGTCGAGAAGAAGTGCATTGAGATCGACAAGCTGCAGTCCGACAGCAAACATGACCTCTCCCATGCCCAATGGCAGACCCTGATAGCCCTGCATCGCACCCTCCTACATGAACACCATGACTTCTTCCTGGCGTCACAACACCCGTTCGCGAGCCCCGGTCTGCAGAAACTGGCCGAGAAGTATTCTATGCCCGCTCGCATGTGGCGCTATGGCATCCACGCCTTTCTCGAGGTTCTGCGCAGCCGGCTGCCGCACTCCCTGGAGTATATGCTAACCTTTATCTATTTGGCGTACTCTATGATGACCCTCTTGGTCGAGAGCGTGCCTGCCTTTGAAGGTACATGGATTGAATGCCTGGGTGACCTCGCCCGCTATCGCATGGCTGTTGAAGAGGTTGACATGCGGGACCGGGAGATCTGGGCCGGTGTCGCCCGCTTTTGGTATAATAAAGCGGCTGATAAGACCCCCGGCGTGGGGAGGATTCAACATCACCTAGCTGTTCTGGCGCGGCCAGATGTGGTTCAGCAGCTGTTCTACTATACCAAGTCCTTAACCACCGTGCAGCCCTTCCCCAGTACCAGGGAGAGCATTCTTCTTCTCTTTGACCCACTCCTGAGTCGACCTCAGCCTGTGGTTCGTCAACGTCACTACGCCGCCCTCACGGCCTTTGTCACCGCCCATGGCTTTCTTTTCACTCGGGATGGGTCTTCTTCTCAGTTCCTCTCATTTGCAAGGCAATTCCTAGATCTACTAGATGACTATATCGGGCGGTCAGGCACCACATTCCGGCTTCAAGGGGCTCACATCGTCTCGTGCAACTTTGCTGCCATCTTTGAATACGGCAGCATCGGCGCTTTGTTGCCTGGGGAATTTAATGGTAATAAGAATAATGAGATGGAAGAAGAACTCGTCCCTTCTATGGAAGAGGTCTACCTGTCTGCCACCCAATACTGGGAGGAGTCGCAGGCGAGTCGGCTCGTCAGTGAAGCAGACTATCCAAATGCCGTCCATCATAATCCATCGTCAACCATGCTCCATGGGTCTTATCTGGCCTTCCATACTATTTCTATTTTACTTGATCGAGTTGGGGACAAAAACGTGTTTCCCAGCGTGCATGTTTCGCTCGCGTTCATCTGGTGCCTCTGTCTCAACCAGGGTAGCATGAAGTATATTGAATGTTTGGTCCCCTGGGTTAGCATCGCGACCTTTCTCAATTCCATGATACGGCCCAATGTCGATGCCAGCAAGATTGAGCGTGTCGAGTTCCCGCGTGCCGAGACCGGGAGTCTGCAGCAGATGCCCGAGGATTTTATTATACGTGGTCAGGTCTGGAGCCCACATTACTTCCCTCCTGGCTTCTTCGACAATGCTTTAAGTGAGGACGATGGGCGATTGATGGAGACCCCATCGTTGATAATTTCGCGCATCCACCGTTGTCTCTGGCTTGGTGTGCGCCTGTCAACAGTAGGTTTTTCTTATAATCTTCTTCTTCCTCTTCTTCTCCTTCGTCCTCTTAACTAACAAACCAGTTCCAATGCTGGATGACATATGACTCTACACAAAAGACATTTTCCGCAACACCATACGCCTGTGCACTAAATGAGATGGCCGAGGAACATGATCCTTTTCCTTCACTCCACTCCACCACCACTTGCTCTATAACTAAATTCTAGTCCAGTACTAGTAGGTGATCAGATCAGCCCTGACTCTACACCTAGCAATAAGGTCCTATCAATGCCCGATGTGCAGTGACCTCCTTTCTGTCAGGAAAGGATCCTCAAGTCTATGATTCCAGCCAGTACAAGAAGTACTCTCTGGTTAATCCTGTCCATATGGCAGTACAGCAATATCAACCGCTGCCATAGAACTGCATTCAACCCAAAATCTAGAGAATAATAATAGAGAATTGAATAAAGGAGTCAATAATAATTTAAAACTATTGCCTTGAGTCCTCTCCTCGGTCCCATAGCTGACGCGGAGAATCCACGTTGCTCGGCCGCGCAGCTGCGATTGGCACGTCCCACTTTAGTTCAGAGCAAAAAGGACATCTGGTAACTACGGAGTACACCTGGGGAGACTCAGGACTCGGTTCTCCCCTCTTTCCTTTGCCCGATCCATTGATCTGTCTGTATATCTTTTGCTCCTTTATGAAGTTTAACCTACTTGTCCGCTTCTTAGTGCTTCCATCGCGATGTGTCTCATGCTGAGCACCCTGCACAGAGCATTGGTCTAATCGTCGCCCTGCGGGCAGCTGCGCTGAGCCGCTGCTCACCCCATAACTACAGTGTACAGCGAAAGCTTCAATCAATCAACAGTTATTAAATCGAAGAGTGATCGAGCAACGGAGAGATAATGGAACAATCGTGGCAGACCTGTCTGCAATGCGCGAGGACGCTGGCCGCAGTGCCCTGGCATGTGCTTCTGGGGGCGGTGCTAGCCACCCTGATAGGAATCGTGGTTTTTGTAAGCATCATTCTTTTTTCTCTTTAATATATCTCTTGAGGGGTCTTGGGCTAATTTTTCTTTGAAATAAGGTCTATGTGATTGTCTCGACTGTTGCGCCGAAGCCGCGCCCCTCATTCCCTGAGGAAACGAAATACCGGTCTCTCGCGCGGGACGGATCCGTCACGGAACCCCAACAGCTACCGAGCTGGCAGGAGGAGGAGGAGAAGAAGAAGAAGAAGAAGGATGAAAAAGTGGTTCTCGACGGAACGGCCGAGGTGTTCATGTCCGTCGTGGTTCCGGCTTATAATGAGGAGGATCGGCTGATGGGGATGTTGGAGGAAGCGGTCGATTACCTGGAACACGAATATGGGACGGTCGGCAGCCAGGAGAGAGAGGATGGGAAACAGCTTCGTTCGAGGAAGGTTAATGGCCAGGCAAAGACGAATGGGCGAGAGAATGGGAACGCTGGTCTACCGGGGGATAATATTGATACTACTACTACTACGCGAGGATGGGAGATCCTGCTTGTCTCGGACGGCTCGACGGACAAGACGGAGGAGGTTGCGTTCCAGTTTGCGCGCGAGCACCAGCTCTCGCGGCACCCGCGCAGGCACTCGGGCCCCTGGACGTCCAGCACACAGGAGGAGGGTGTGTCCATCCCGCCGGGGACGATCCGGGTCGTCACCCTGAGCCAGAACCGGGGCAAAGGCGGCGCCGTCACTCACGGCATGCGGCACGTCCGTGGCCGGTACGTCGTCTTCGCCGACGCGGACGGCGCCAGCAAGTTCACCGACCTGGGCAAGCTGGTCACCGCTTGCAGGGGCATCGAGGATTCTCGCGGTCGGGGGGTTGCGGTGGGTTCGCGAGCGCACATGGTCGGCAGTGAAGCTGTTGTTAAGGTATTCCTCATGCTTGGACCTTTTTCTTTTCTTATTCTTTTTTTTTTTTCTAACGAAATAGCGCTCCAAATTACGCAACTTCCTGATGCACTCGTTCCACATGATACTGTGGCTGTTGACGCCGCCCAAGACGGCAACCATCAAGGATACGCAGTGTGGCTTCAAGCTCTTCTCGCGCGCTGCCCTGCCGGATATCATCCCGTACATGCACTCCGAGGGCTGGATCTTCGATGTCGAGATGCTTATGCTTGCCGAGTTCGCCGGCATCCCTGTCGCAGAGGTGCCTGTTGGCTGGCACGAGGTCTCTGGCAGCAAGCTCAATGTCATCCGTGATAGCATCGGGATGGCCTGGGGACTTGCCATCCTACGCGTGGCGTGGTCCCTCGGCGTCTATCGCCGGCGAGTTTAGAACGGAGAGTCTGTGGGGATTCACGATAGTTTCATCTTCCCAACGTCTTATCTTCAAACAGAAAAAAAAAAAAAAAAAAAAAAAAAA